CTACCTACCTACCTACCTACCTACCTACCTACCCCTCCCTCCCTTATATAGCCACCTATCTCACACAAAGATAGGTGATTCTGGGTGGCGTACAACAATTAAAAAGAATAAATACATAAAAATAATTACAAATAAAAAACTATAGAAGCACACAAAACAGGAGGAGATAAAATTAATAAGGGAGCCATTGCAAAATCTCCCTGGTCTCCTGGCACCCCCAGGCCTCATCACATAGCCAGGTCTTGAGGGACTTGCGGAATCTTAAGAGGGATGGAGCTAATCTCATTTCTAGGGGGAGAAGAGCAGGCGCCATGGAGGAGAAGGCCTGCAGCCTGGGACCTGCCAAATGTAATTCTCTGGCAGACGGGACTTGCAGCGTGCCTTTCCTGCCAGACCTGATAGGATGGACAGATGTAATTGGGGAGAGGCAGTCCCTCAGGTAACCTGGTCCCATGCCATGAAGGACTTTAAAGATCAAAATCAGCACCTTGAATTGGACCTGGAAGCAAACTGGCAACCAATGCAGCTCGCGGAGTAGAGGTGTAACATGTACCGCCCTAGGGGCACACATAACTGCCTGCATTGCTGCATTTTGCACCAGCTGAAGTTTTCAGATACTCTTCAATGGCAGCCCCACGTAGAGCACATTACAGAAACCCAAACAGGAGGTGACTAGGGCATGAGTGACAGTGAATAGGTCCCTCTGATCTAGGAATGGGTGCAACTGGTGCACAACACGAAGCTGTGCAAAGGCCCTCCTAGCCACAACTGCTCTTCGAACAGGAGTCATGAGTCCAGGAGGACCCCCAGATTGTGCACAGGGTCTGTCTGGGGCAGTGCAACCTCATTCAGTACCAAAGACAGCATAGCTCTAGCACCATAAGGCCCCAAAACCACTCAGCCTTGCCAGGGTTCGGTTGAAGCCTGTTTTTCCGCCATCCAGACTCTCACATCCTCCAGGCACCGGGATAAGACATTCATAGCATCGCTTAATTTGCCAGGGGCAGAGATGTATAATTGGGTATCATCATCATACTGATGATACCTCACCCCATGGTGATGGATGAGCTCACCCAGCGGTTTCATGTAGATGTTAAATAGGAGGGGGGACAGCACAACCCCCATCCTACTCTCACCACAGATCATCCAAAAGTGCAACCAATGCTGTTTCCATCCCATACCCAGGCCTGAATCCCGACTGAAAGGGATCTAGATAATCTGCTTCATCCAAGGTCTTCTGAAGCTATTGTGCAACCAACTTCTCAATCACCTTCCCCAAAAAGGGGAGGTTAGATACTGGACAAAAATTGCCAGTAGAGTGGGGTTTAGCGATGGCCTCTTGAGGAGGGAGTGAACCAAGGCTCCTTAAGAGGCAAGGGAATGACCCCCCTCACTCAAAGATGCATTAACCATTGCTAGAAGCCACTCACACAACACCCCCTGGGCTGCTTTAACCAGCCAGGAGGGGCATGGATCTAAAGAGCAGGTGGCTGAGCTCACAGCCCCAAGGACCCTGTCTCTGGTATCTCTTACAACTTTATTGACAATTTTTACTTTCTGTTGGATAGAAGAAGAAAAAAAAGGCCTCCCTACTGATGCAAATTACTACTTGAAAGTGATCCTTGGGATCTTAATCTGACTCAGTGCAATCATATTTATTATTGAATATATTTCTATGCTGCATTGTAGGTGAACTTCTGATATGGCAAATTACAGTCAAAATGTTCAGAGTAAAGCAGAGTTTAATAATATAGAGCTCCAATAATAAGTTCAGTAATGTTTGGGAAGTCATGAAGAAGTTTAAAGAGTTTCTGAAAAAAATCCGTGAGCATTTGTAGCTCTGTTAAACTGTTCAATAATTGCAGTTCTCGATATGATGTACAGACTGGTTAGAAATATAAATACACAATAATACAATATAAAAACCAGCAACAAAATATGACACCATAAAAGCACAGTGAATTTAACAGCAAAATACTGTGATGTTCTGAGAGCACTAAAATAATTTTTTAAGATAACGTGGCAAACAGCAGAGTTTTTATCTGGCTCTGCAAATGCCATAGTAGAAGTGTTGGGTGAATCTTTCCATTCAACAAATGGAGCGACATCACTTTCTTTCTTTTTGAGTCTCCTCGTGTAACAGTGCTTGTTGAGGATTTAGCAAGATCCATTGAACCATCTTGGTTTTAGAATCACCTTGCTAGATCCGATTCCTTGATCTGTCCACTTGTGGTCATGGCTGATGTGCTTTGGGATGTATTTGCGCAATGATTGATAGCGCCATTCTGTTACTTTGTGCTGGTTTGTGATGGTTACTTTTCAAACTTAATTTTTTTTTTGTTGAATTCTTTATTATTTTGTGGAGGGTTTTTTTTTTAAAATAGAGGTCATATATGAACCATAATTATGCAAAAGAGAAAGGTCTTGCTGATGTATGAGCAACTTTTTCACCTTTTTTTTAAACAGAATTTTTGAGGTGTATATCCTCAACATGACATGGTTGATACTTCTGCATAGCCATGGTTTCTTAAGTCATGGTTTGTTGAATAAGCTACAATTGACTGGATTCACACAGCACACTAAACTAATGCAAAACAAATAATATGGTGTATAAGCTGAACATTTTGTGTCTGAAAAAAATATTTTTACAAGGTCGATATCTCAATATCTGAGACTATTTCAAGAGTATTATGTTTGATACAGTGCTATTGTAGAATATAGTTAAGACATCTTTTCAGGTGTTTCAGAAATGAAAAATATTACAAAAATAGTTTCCCATGATGAGAAATAAGAGTTAAAAGATTCTAAGTACTTCAGTTAGCTGCTTCTGAGCATACCAATAACACACCTGCCACACTAAAAATGAAAATACTGCAAGTACACCTCCCTTTATTTTTAAATTAGGATACCTACAGAAGAAGGCAAATGCAGCGTACCATTACACGTCAAATGTCTTTTGATCTGACCAAGCTGTTGGTTACAGAAGACTGGTTCAGTGATATTAGCCCACAGACAATGAGGCGATTGCTTAATATTGTTTCTGTGACAGGTATGTTTATTTATCAGTGCCAGACATTTATAATCTTTGGTCTTCATGCTGAAAACAGTTTGCCAGTCTAGTATTGGGGAATAAGTGTATAGCTTGTTTCTAATCTTCTGCACTCTGTAATGAAATTAAGAAATATTAAAGACTACATGAATTAGAAACTATTCATGTGACAATTTAAAAGTAGAAATGTGCAAACAATACTTGTGTCTCACAAACCTTCCAAAGTATGGTAGCATTATGGTGGCAGAATATGCTTTTGTTTAAAAAGTACTGCATAATTGGCATAATTGTATCTTAATTAAGAATGTCAGGCTTTTCTCTTATCAAGTGAAGTCAGCTGAAAACAACTCAAAATGATTACGGATTTTTTATTTGTTGGACAAATGTCCTCTTAAATTATCATGAAAATAACCTAGATAACAAATTCTCCCTTCTGTGAATGAAAGTTTATTTGTGGAATAAATACAAGCTCTCTCCATTTCAAGAGAGAAGGAGATGGTTCCCACTTCCTTCTGGACTCCCTGTACATCTATCCTTTCAGAAGGATATCCAGCTGTGGTAGAAGATTGGGGTGGGGGCATGCTCAGGAGGAATAACTTCTCCCTCTTCCAGTGAGACTATTCCAGGAACGGAAGCATGGGTCTGAATTAAAAAGTATCAGGTACAAAATGCAGCATTTGAACATTGCATTAAACTTTGGAAAAATATGCAGAAATGTTTACTCCCACATTTTTAAAATGTCTGGATTGTTAAAACAAATCCACTAGACTTATAGTGCAAGCATGTAGTTGGGATGACAAATCTCTGTTGTGAAATTTCAGTACTTAGACTGTTAGTGGTTGTGAGTAGTGCAAAATAAAATTCCTTATTGATACTCACATAGTCAGTCCTCATATATTTGTATTAAAATACTGTGACTGGTTTGCTATGGTAGGCAGTTACTTCAGAAGAGAACAGAATGACTTTGAAGCTGAGATGTGATCAAATTCTTGTTAGGAAATCTTGTACTATTATTGTCATTATACTGTCATTATTTTGTGGGAATGTGAACCATGTTGCTAAGCATATAACTTCTTCAACTACATAGGGCGTTTATTGAGAGCTAATCAGATCACTTTCAACTGGGATAGGCTGGCAAGCTGGATCAACTTAACAGAGCAATGGCCATACAGAACATCCTGGCTTATATTGTATTTGGAAGAAACAGAAGGTGTTCCAGATCAACTAACTTTAAAAACAATCTATGAGAGGTAAGTGCGATTTTGACTGTTGGGAATAGTTAAGAAGCCAACATTTAAGAAGAACAAGTGTCTCTACTGGCTAATCCAAATATGAAGTGAAGGTAAAATTTAGTCCAAATGTCTGATTTGTCAAGATGAAACAGCAACATTCTATTTTTTAAAATGCTCTTGAAAAAGAGTGTTTCTCTTTGACAGGGGTCAGAAATCATGCATCCTGGAAAAAGTATGACATATTTGTTTCATGTCAAAATGTGTACATGTTTTTTCCTTAGCCCTAGTAACTTTCCAAGTCTTAGAATTTGCTTAACAAATGTCCAACAATTCAGATCCAGAATTATGTTTAATTTCTTTTAAAATGTGTTGTTATATGTTAAGAATATAAAAAATGCTGGATCAAACCAAGGCTTATTTAGTCCAGGTTATCAGAGGAACTTCACATTGGTACAAGAGAACCTTCCAGGCTCCATTTACCAGGAAGTGGTACGAAGTGGTATGAAAAAGCATACTTCTACTGATATTAACACATAATAATTATGCTGATAGCCACTGATATCTGGACCCCTTAAAAAGTTGCCCAGATTGGCAGCTCATATTGGGTCTTTTAATTATTGTTTTTTAAGAAGCACTTTCTTTTTTCTGTTGTCATCAATCAGTTTCATTAATTGACTGGATTCTGGTATAGTAGGAAAGAAAGAATAACATCTGTTCACTTTCTCCATATCATGCATAATTTTATATACTTTGACCATGTCTTCATTTACTTTTTACAGTAAAAAAGGCTCATACTGAACAATTTTTTCTGGTAGAAAAATTGCTTCAAGTCTTTGTGTCCTTTTCTGCATTTTTTCTAGCCTTTTTTTGAGGCACAGACATTGGGAAATGAATACTGTGATGCTTATGAAAATTAAGAGTTTATTAATTCATAGTATTAATGAAAGAAGCTGTCATATTTCCCAGTTAAATGTTTAACATAATATTTAGCATGGCTCTCAGGTGGCAAAGGTTGAAAAATGCCTGTTAGAGTTTATACAAACTATTTCATTTAAATATATTGATACCACATTTGGACCAGTTGTAATTTAGTTGTTATTTTGTTATATTTTATATGAAATTACCTAGCTGTACATGCTGTGCTTCTACAGCTACACCAAAAGTGTTCTTAGAATTAACAGTGAGAATTGTTATTATAGGTTCAGTAGGTAAGATTGAGAGGGTATCATAGAGACAGACAGATAGGTTGTCATATCTGTACCAACTTTATAAAAATTGATCAGGTAATTTCTTCTTGTTTTATGTATTCAAATTAACTGTTCAGTAGGCTCAAGCAAGTTATCTGTAGGACTGGGTTAACAAGAGTTTTCTATTGAAACTTACTGGGATTTCTTCATTATCTTGGTGGCTAAGAGTTCTCTTGCCACAAAAGGGGGCCTCTAGATGGAGCTTGTTGCTTTTCTCTAGCAGAGGTACGGAGAGTGTTAACAACAGGATAAGAAAATAATGTGGGAGATGCTACAGTTACAGAGCTATTAAAAACAGGGTTTCCACACTGGAACTGATAGTATTTGCTGTTTTGCTGTATGAATCTACTGCACTGCTTTCAACTGGCAGTCTTGAGTAGGACTAATTGGAATATAGTACAGTACAATCCCATTCATATCTGTTCAGAAGAAGATTCCACTGACTTGAAAGAAACTTACTTTAAAATAAATATGAACAATCATTATCCCAAGTATCTTTTAAATACTGTAACTGTTTTGCTTTTTCCAGTAGATGGCACTCATACAACTGGTTATTTTGATTGAGAAGCCTCTCATGTAATACTGATGCTTATTTACAAGTTTGATAGACTGTGTATGTTAATCTCAGATCTGAAACTTAAAAAAAATTAAAGTTGAGGGTTTTTAAAAAATATTTGAGTAGTTTTTATTAATCCATTTTCAAACAAACATACACAAAATAAAAATGAACAGTACCAAAGAGGAAGGGGAAAAAATACACAACAAGTAAACACATAAAAAAACAATCTGTAGCTGCAGCTATATCCCAAGTTCACCTGATTTTGTAAATCTTTAAAAGGGAAAACTAAACTTCCAATGTTCAGCAATCCTGTCCAAATTTTTTTCCAAAGGAAGAGATAGTGTGACATTTTCTAATTTTCTGATTAACAAAATATATAGTTTTCACAAAAATTGCTAAATCACGCATCTCTGAAATGCAGTCCTTTATATATGGAATTGCAATATTTTCCCATCTTCTAAGAATTATTCTTTTTGCTATTGTTAAAGCACGAAAAACCCCTCTTTGTTTTGAACATGTTAAATTCCAAGTAGTTGCTGTATAATTCAGTTCAATATGCTTATCTTTAAAAACAGATTTTTCACAACAATTCTGTCAACATATTGTATAACATTTTTTCAAAAGAGGTACAAGGAAGAACATGACTATACATATGTGTTAATTTGCCCTCAAATTTCTTGCAACACCAGCACAAATAATTAGTCCATTCTTTACAAAACATTCTAGATGGTGTCCAGTAGATATGAAAAACAATCTTTTTGATGGATTAATTTCAACTTTAAATCACAGGTCATAAACGTAGTGTTTTTTAAAACTTGAGTCCATTGGCTTGAAAGAACCAGAGTTTCCAATTCTTGACTGCAAGCTTCTTGTTTATTTGTTATGGATATTTTAAACTGTTCCTTTAACTTTTGACAACAGAAAAAAGCAGGGTTGGATTCTGAAATTGAATTTTTCAGTATTAATAATGTATCAGATACTTTAGAAGCTGCTAAAGCATCAGGTCTGTATTTAGCTGTGAAAACATGGATATATCTCCATTGTTGAATTGATGGTAAAGAAAATGCTGTTTGCAGAGGCTGAAAAGATTTAAAGAAATCATTAAACAATAATTGGCCTAATGTAATTATACCCTTGTGCATCCATTCTTTTGAGGAAAAAGTTTTACCACCAGTTTTTACAGCAGAGTTATGTCAGAGAATTAAATATTCATGAGATTCCATATCAAAATTAAACCCATTACCTAGCAGGGCTCAATTATGTCTTACCACTAGCAAAGTTGGAAACGCTAAATTAGCCCTAGTAAACTTTGTACCTAAAAACTATCAACTTTTAAATGGCTAAGTTCAATAACTTTTCAGTTTAGCCCATAATGACTATCTCTCTCCCTTCCCCCCCAAATCATTGCAATAAAATATTGATTCTAAAATGTAAGCCCAGTGATATTTCTGAAAATCTGGAAGATCAAAATCCCCATCTGTCATAGACAAATGTAGGTTAGAAAGGAAGATTCTAGGTGCTTTACCTTCCCAAATAAATTTTCTTAAAAGGATGTTGAGGGTTACTTTTATGGTTTGCAATTTATGAATAATTAAAAATACTGATACTGACAGACATTTCTTATGCAGATGCAATGTCACAACTCGAGGAAACCACAAACTGACAATCCTAAGCTAAATGTGAACCAAGTTCATTTGTAATTTGTGAACAATTCTGGATCATTTTCCTGTTCTATGTTAGGTTCAAACAGCAAGCAGTCTGTCTGTTACTTGTGGCCCTCCCTCCAACTGAGTGCTTACTAATGTCCAATGGTTACATTAGAAGATTTGTCAGTTTTGAGATAACTTTTGAGGCGTGTGATTTAGTTAACAGATGGATAATGTGTTAATTTTATGTTGCTGGATTACTATGGCTTTTGTTACCCATCATATTTCATGAACAGCTAGGAATATATGAGACACTATTTCATTTACCAAACATTTAAATGTCATCTACATTTATCTGCATGACATTTAAGGTTTTGAGATTCTGAGCACTGGAAGCAGTTGGTGTTTTCATGTTTTCATTTCACAGATTTTTATTTTATTTATTTATGTTCTGCCTTTTCTCCAAGAAACTGAGGTAGAATGTATTCGCATGTTAGTGGTTAGGCTGAGTGATAAAGATTGGCTCAGTCACCCAATAAGCTTCATGGCTGAGTAAGAACTTGATTGTGGATCTAAAGATTTATTTTAATGTTGTAACAATAGCTCCATATTAGGAAAACAAAACAAAAAAACCCAAAAAAATATTTTGGGATGTAGGGTATCAGGAAAGTATCAGGTAACTGGCTAGCTAAAGGTTTGTATTTGTGTTTAGTATTTGCATTATTTCTGTTTGTAACTGTCTGAATTTAGTATTGGAACCTTCTTGTATTTTTCTTTTTATCGGCACAAGTTAAATAGTAGAAATCCATCATGATGAATTTAGGGCTAAGCCAAAATTGAGGAAGGAGCTGTTTGTGAGCCCACCCTTTGGCCCTTATGAATTGAATATCTCTCTGTGGTTTATTTTTTTTTCATAAGAGGCTTGAAACCATATGAATATGTTCTTCTGCCCAGCTCCAATGATGTAGTGGCACTTGTATTTAACATGAAGCACAAAGCTCGTTCTTAGCTTCTTATCTCAGTGTTATCACATAATTAGATCTTAGGTGATATCACTATTCTTGATGTTGAAACAAACACCACTCAAAGTAAGCCAAATTAAACAATGTGAACAAAATTGGGTTTCAGAGAAGGTGTTGACTTCTTGAAAACATTGCTCTCACAATAAGAATATTTTCATTAAGATATTTAGTGTAACCCATGATGTTTGCCATGTAAATATAATATCTTCAGATGTGTCAATAAATGCCATGGCTTCATAGACACATTTTGATATACCTATCCATTTTTATGTTTCCATTCCAAAATTACTAGTTTTAAAATGTTTTGTTTTGTACTTTGCTCATTTATTTTTAATTGGTCTTCTGAAAGCTTGATCCTGAAAGACAGGGAAGTATACATGTGTGATATTTTTTTTTAAAAAAATGGTATTTGCTGTTTTTATACATGTTCCTTATGCTCTGTTAGCCATTGACATGAATAATTATTTAAATTGTAATATTTCTAATTCAAATGAAATCTACTGGTTTGTTATAATTTGAAAACAGTTTTATATTGCACTAATAAAGGA